TGGAAAGTAAGTTTAAAATTCCATTTGGGCATGTGGTAAGACTAACGGGTTTCTGAGTCTCCAAATCACCGTGTCCCACGGTTTCTGTGTTATTTTGTCTTCTACCGCGTTTCCGGCTCTCCAGACACCACTAACAGCAAGAGAACCGGATGGGGAACTTGCGTGGCCAGCATCCACAGTGTGTGGCGTCAGTCCCGGGCCGGCAGGGAGGACAGGCCGACGGAGCGGATTCTGCGGGGGTCTTCCGTCGCTTCTTCCGGGGACAACCCCCGCTCCCTTCTCGGTGCTGCCTTCCCCTCTGCGCTTCCACCCAGCCTCCTGTGGCCTCGCCTGGGGGTGACGCGTGCCCACGCTCCCTCCCTCCTCGTCCCTCTCCGTCATCCCTCCTCACTCATGTTGCGGGTGGAGCTTCTTGACCCAGCAGAAGTCGAGCCAGGAATCTGTCTGAAAAGCTCCTTGGGGCCGTGGCGGGGGGGGCTGACACCAACCTCCGGCCCAAAGGGACCTCCCAAAACCAGACGCAGAGGACAGAAGCCGAGGGTCCGTGGAAAGGGACGGCAACACTTCTCTCACACAGACACAGCACGCGGTTACCCCGAGGGCGCTGGAGCTGCAGGAGGGAGAGGGGAAGACGAGGCCATCACCCAGTGGAGCCACAGAAGACCGCACGGCTTGAGTGGGACAAGGGACATGACGCGCTGGCTCCATCCCCGGGGCTCCTTTCGGAACTCTGCCTCCCCCTCCCCCTCCACCCTTGCCCTCTACCCAGGGGCTGAGATGCGAGTGCTGTGACTTAGAACACTTGGGTTCAAACCGGCTTCACGATCATTCACTGAGTGTCCTTGAACAATTGCGTTTGTCTCTCCGGGCCTCCGTTTCTTCATCTGGGAAATGGAGACAATAGTGGCATGCAGCCCAGGGCCTTAGGAGGCTGGAGTGAGAATGACACACCCAGAGCCCCAGGAAGGTGCCCAGCTCGTAGTGAACGCCCAGTCGCCATCTGCTGTTGTTGATATGCTCTTATTTTTTATTCACCAAGTGTGAGATCCTTGGTAGCGTCCCGGCAAAGAAGGTGTCCAGGCAGGCTCTGGGCAGACCGTTTAACTGGCAGGGCGAAAACTTATGAACTATGGTTGTGTTTCTTCCTGGCAAGCAAAGTCCCTGTCTTCAGATACACGCTCCATGATTTGATCGTTCCTAATAAATCTTGGATGGTCTTGGGTTTATGAATCAATTCATGACTAATGAGCACACTCTGGGCCCCAACCTGTCCTGTGATGCCTCATTAAGAAATGAGAGTCGGGCTGGGTGAAGGGGCTCACGCCTGTGATCATCCCAGCCCTTTGGAGAGGTCGAGGTGAGAGGATTGCCTGAACCCAGGGGTTTGAGACCAGCCTGGGCAACATGGCAAGATTTTGTCTCTGCATAAAAGTTAAAAATTAGCCAGAGGTGGTGGTGCATGTCTATAGTCCCAGCTACTTGGGAGGCTGAGGTGGAAGGATCGCCTGAGCTCAGCAAGCAGAGGCTGCGGTAGCCGTGATTGTGCCACTGCACTCCAGCCTGGGTGACAGAGTGAGACTCCAACTCAAAAAA